AAACATTAAACATGGTCAAAATATATATTTTCATTTCCGTTATTTATAACTTATAAGATACCATCTGCCCTACACATAAATAAATTGAAGCTATTAATAAATAAATAAGGGTAGCCGGCGTTTCATTATCTTTCGACGATTGTAATTTACTTCACCGATTCCCCTTCGGTACTCCAGTTCTTGATATGACCATTTCATATTGCGATCATATGAACTTTTATGGAGGACTGAGGTTTTTGGTATGGGCTTTAATTTCAGATGATATCCTGAATATATTCTTACTCAACATTTAATAACATTTAAAAGCCAGTAAAAAAGTTACAGTTGAATATTGAAAAAAAAAAAGTGTTAATTATTGTGGGTATACTGTCTGTAACAACTATACCTTCGAGACATGTAACACCTCAGTCTCTCCCGTGACCATGGATGCTGTAAAGCATTCGAAACGTCGGGAACCAAAAATCGAAATAAATCCGCGAAATAATCCGAAAAGATAGTTTTATTTAATAATGTTAATTATTTTTTAAATGTATCTATCTAGCATTTTTATTCATTACATATGGATATTGAAATTTTATTGTTTTTCTTGGTAATAAAATAGACAATATTGAAAAGAGATATGATTTGACTGATTTGATAAAGGCTGCATCACATATATTTTTATAACGAAATATTTGAATTTTAAAATAAAAATGCCACATATAAGACGATTTGGGAATTATCTATCTGTTTTAGAGATAAATAGAGTTGATTCGTGAGTTAGCTATCACTGGCTAGAGAGGCAGTTCTGTTGAAAAGAGTCAACCAGAAGCTCAAAACTAATTTAAGTGCCGACTTAGAAAATTAAAAAAAATCATAGCAAGTCCGCATTTAAGTTAATTTATCTTAACTCTTCACAATTACTATAAGAATACTCTACACAGGATAAATCTGCTGTAAATTAATCCATATCATATGTATTTTTAATTTTAGCTTTACATTGTTGAAAGCATAAATCTAAGTCAGTTTGTGAAACGGCTATCTCTAAAGTATGAAATTCGTTCCCCATTATTCTCTGAAGTGGAATTTTCAGCATGTGAAAAATAAAAAATAAAATTTAAAAAGAGGTTTTCTTAGAATTTTCATATATGCATCATATATTGTTGCTAACATTTAGATTTTCGACTCGGCGGCGTGGAAACGTATAGCGGTAAGGGTTTTGGCAACTTTGAACGTGAATAGTTCCGTAATCATATTTGGTTGTAAAACGCTTGTTAAATATGCCTTTGGGGAAAAACTTGTCGCGCTTTCGCAGCTTTGTTAGCCAAGTTTTATAGTTTTACTCGGAATTTTTAATATATAAGTATACAGCAGTCTTCTAATTAAGAAAATTTTGGGTGAAATTTTGCAGTACAGTCTTATGAAATTATTAAAAAAATATTTTTGTGTTTTAATCTAGATTTACTTAATTTGTTTTATTTAACATGTACTATATTGCAATCTATTGAATTAGTTTTAAGCTATTGGTCTGACGAGTCAGTTGTGGCTAATATGTATTTGTTTTAATCGCAAATATACAAAAACAAAGTAGCAAAAATCGATAGAAGAGACATATTTGCGAGCCACTAACTCACAAGTTTGAGAAACTGTTTGCAATACATTAATATCCCACAAGAACAATTTGATATAGTCATTGGGATACAGTAGTGGCCCAGTGGTAATGCGCTTGCTTGCACACCAATTGAAACGGGTTTACATCCCGGGTCTCGCACCTCTGATAATTTCATGTGTGAATCATTTTCAACATGATTACCTCTTCTTCTTCTCTTGTTTTATGATGAAGAAAGCATCATGAGGACACTTGCATGTCCTAGAGAACCTAATAAGTCGAAAAAACTTATCAAGTTCGCCAACCCGCACTTGGCCAGCGTGGTGGACTGTGGCCTCATAGCGCTTCGCACTGAAGGGAGACCCGTGCCCAGCAGTGGGAAGTTCAAAACGGATGAAAACATGGATATATTTTTATAGCCCAAAAACTTCCTCCTAACAAAAATCAAAATTCAAAAGTATAAACCAACAAACCACTTAACCATAGACAATATGAGTATGATTAATGCTATCCCATATAAATCTCCATCAGGCGTCCCTCAGCTGATACAAAACAATACATTTAAGTACTCCTAATAAAACATAATAAAACTCTACACGTTTTTTCCAGATAGCAATATGTTTTTTCCACGTCGTGCCTTTTTATAATGTTAAAGTTACATCATAAATCCCGACCGACGTAAAATCCTTAATACTTAAATTCAATTTAATAACCCCCAAACCCTTTGACCCGCGCTTTACGTCACGTCAGATTGGCCGCTTTATAAAAATGAGTTTTCATTCGTTCATTTTTAATTAAAAACAGCTTCCGGTGGCGTATTTGTCTTCGCAATATTAATAGCAGCTTACAATACGTGCTTCACGCTTGTTTCAGACTGTTGCGAGTGCTTGATTATAATTTAATCTATCAGTTTGGAATAACCAATTTTCTACACTTAAAAACCTAGATATATATCTAGGTGTTTGTTGTAATTTTGTCTTATGAAATAATACAAAAACACAATCTTGTATATAATTATGTATATAAAAATCGATATGTGTATGTTTGTTCGCTATGGACTCTAAAATGGCTGGAGCGATATTGATGCAATTTTCAGGCAATTTTCAGAGTAGCCCAGAAGAGCAAATTTTTGGACAACCCCCCTAGGTTACGTTTGTTAATATGTTTTATGGTTAAAAAAATTCGTCTGGAAAAAGATTGAGGTGTCCACCACATAGATTGGGATCTCCTACTAATATATATTTTTAAATAAGTATAGAAAAAGTCACTATTAAAACACTCGTTATTCTCTATTTGTTTTTAGTTTCAATATCCCCTAATAACCCTTATGGTATCAACCCTTATGGTATCAATAAAATTTTGTGTATCATATTTTTAGCCTTAATGGTATAACAATTTTCGGGAGTCATTATCGTAATTGCAGCAACGCTTTGGTGTTGAACGCGAATAATTTATGAATTTATAGGGGAAAATTAGATTTGATTATAATTTCTAACCAACTTAAAAAACAGTAGGTAATTTACAAGTGTTTAAAAGTGCGTTTTTGTGTGATATCTGTGATATTTTAGCCAATCTTTAAGCGATTTTTGTATTTTTTTAATATTTTACAAATAAAAAAAACCGAGATTAATTATATTTAAAAAAGATAACCTTTTTTAGTTTTACACGCATGGGATGATATTAAGGGCTAACATAAAGGGGTAATAACAAAATTTTATGTCCTCTTCATCCAATCTTAGTTACGACATTGTTATGGTGTACATAAAGACCCTATCAGTGATCTGCTCGTAAAAAAAATAAACTATTCAATCATAGAGTGTAAGTGATAAGGATATTAATATTCATTTACAAAGTTACATTTAAGACTTATTTATTGCTTTCATTTAATCGTAATTTAAGTGGTCAGGGGTTGATATTTCAATTTTTATATATGTAGCTACCTCAGTTTCGTTTTAACGTTTAGTATAGGTATATTTCTCAGAGATGAAATATTTTTCCGCAGTAAAAAGTATCCTATATGTTGACCCGGATAACCAGCTATCATCATACCAAATTTTATAAAAATCTGTCCAGTGTTTTTCTCGTGATGCGTTCCCAGACAGACAGACAGACAGAGAAAAAATCTAAAAACTATGAAATCGGCCTCTTTATCGATAATAACAACTATTTCAATAAAATTTTCCAAAGAATATTTAATGTACAGATTTAACTCAGAATTTTATTATATGTATGGATAGTTTATTTTGTTTAAATATTTGAGCAATATAAGTATTCTTTATACAATTATTTTTGATTAAAATTAAATGAAAAAAAAAATGAAACTATTGAGAGTTTCACAAGCTGCTTTCATTACATTGTAACACAGCTTGCCTATACGTTACTCAATAAGTTAAGCAACAGTAACTCAGGGATGCACTAAATGGCGGTCTTTATTCTGAGCTATACGATCGTTGCTTTATAGATTTTTTATTAAATATCATGTAGATTTTATATATTCAAAAGTGCGCCCCGTTAAACTCTGACACCTGAGATAGTTTACATAAAAATGAAATTTTATTTAAAAATAAGCTTATCGGAGAATTGTTAAGATAAAATCAGTTCTATTATAAAAGTCAGTTTGTATGTGTTTGCGTGTTTGTTACTTCTTCTGCTGAAACGGCTACACCGATTTAGATGAAATTTTGTGCCCAAACTGTCTAAAACCTTAAAATTTGAAGCATATTTGCTAGTCATAGTATTTGCCTTATAAACACAAGAGGCTCTTAGGGTACGCTCTTGTATTCGACACGACGGAGAGACCGAGCTCTACGAGACACTGGGGTGAAAAACTGCCAACTCCGGGCTATTACTGAGAATATCCTAACAGAAAAACTCAGTAATTAAACTTGCCTCGACCCGAGACTCGAACCTAGGACCTCCGGATCTGTAGCAAGCCACTACACCACCGTGATAGTTAGTGTATAGTTTAGCTAGCATTTTATTTCAGTTCGATCGTGATCGACATCCGTTGTTCCATCACGAATTGTTTGATGGATTGTGCCTATTGTTCCCTACAGTTTGATGACGGCGTTAATTTCGTTACGTCATCAGTCGTTATTGTTTAGATTTTCATCCAGTTATCCACTTTGTTTAATATCAATCAAAAATTTATTCACGTCGTTATGTGTTTTCTCATAATTTGGTTATCATGAATAAATAATTTATGACATAGGTTTTGTTGCGTTACCTTCTATTTTGTAGATCACGAATTTTATTCTATTGAATTAATAACAGGGAAAAAGAGATATAATTTTAAACAAGTCTGAAGTTTTATTTATTGGAGCAAAAACGATTAGATTTTAATGAAGATGTTAGTCTTTAATAAAAATATGTTCTTAGTAATATTATGAGAAATTGTTTTTTATATATACAGATTTTGTATTTCCAGAACACGGGTGTAAAGAGTTCAGGTGTAAGCAGCGCGAGTTTTGCGTGAGCGCGGACTTGACGTGCGACGGCGTGGACCACTGCGCCGATGGCTCTGACGAAGACACCGCCTCTCTCTGTCCAGGTAACTATAGTGTTATCCATACTAATATTATAAATGTGAAAGTTTGTTTGTTTGTATGTATTTTTGTTTGTTTGTTTGTCCTTCTTTTACGTCAAAATGGAGTGATCTATTGGCGTGATTTTTTGTGTGGAGATAGTTGGAGGGTTAGAGAGTGACAGGCTACTTTTAACCGCGGGAGATTATCTAATACCCACGGGAAAACACGTTATAATACAATCCAAAAAAATATTTATAATCAGAATTACTCGAAACTGTATTAATTCTCTTCAATAAAATTAAATAAATACGTGTTTTAGAATTTTTCGAAATTTATCCTATAAAGGGGTAAAACAGGGAGTGATTTTTTTTTGAAAAAGTTAACTCATTTACCTCCTACTAAATTGAAAATTTCATTAAATTTTCCCTTTTGGTGCAAAGCCTTTTGGGCTCCCGAAATAAGTACATATATCCCGAAATAAGTACGTATATAAACCGGGGTTATCAATCAGTATTAGGTAATATTACTCTAGGAGGAGAAATAAAACCCAAGTGCGGGTTGGCGGACTTTATATTATGTCCTTTCAAAACGTGCTAGATTCTCTCAGACATGCAGGTTTCCTCACGATGTTTTCCTTCACCGTAAAACAAGTGTCAACAAAATATTAGAAGTGTGAGACCAAGGATTTGAACCAGCTCCACTCGATTTCCCATACGAGCGCGTCACTGCTGGGCTACCGCTGCCTTTGTATGATAAAGAATAAAATAAAAATATTTTATGTCCATGATAGAGAGCGGTGGCGGAGGTGGCAGCGGCACGTGGGTAGCGCTGGCGGCGGGCGCGGCGGCTGTGCTGCTGCTAGTTGTCGTCGCGATACTCACCTGCTACTGCCGGCGACGCGCGCCCGCCAGACGGACGCACTTACATTGTAAGTCTCATTGCCATTAATATTATTAATGCGATTGAACTTGGGAGGCCTTCTGTTATAGAGAAAGGGGTAAATTAGCCTTTTTTTTACATGTCGAATATCTCGAAATTTTCTTTTAAGTTCTTTTAAGTTACAGTCATACCACGAAGCAAGTTGCATGTTGATTATTCTATTTCTATTATTATTGTGTCATTTATTTGCACAGTTATTACTTTATCGAGGTGCCATTTGTATTTCGGATGGAAAACTAAATTATTATATATTTTTGTTTACTATACAACTGTCAAGCAATATAGGAATTTTTCCTATAGGAATAAAAAGTGAATTAAATGGAAACCCGACTTTTACACTCTATTATTTTGACAAAACTCTTAAAAGCATGACGGAAGGATAGTTAAAAAAAGGGTTTAGAGATAGGAGTTTAATTCAATCCATTCGGATACCGATGAGGCTAAAGAATTGTCTTTTATAAATATTAATGTTTTACGTTCCAGTGCAACAGATGGCCAGCAGCAACGGCGCGGGCGGCAAGGGCGCGTGCGCCGCGTCGCCCGCAACGCGGCTGCCGGGAAACTGGGCGCACCCTGCGGGCCCGCGCGGGTATGAAACCACTAGTACCAAGACCACTGTTGATGCTTGACCCATTTTGATGTAGTTTACGCTTACGAATATATAGAGTAGAATAATAAAATAGATTTACTTACTTTTTTTTCTAATTTCAATATTTTTTTATCGCTGTTTTTGCTACTTTGTGTTGTGTTTTTTTTTGTTTTTTTTTGTTTGTTATATGTATGTTTGTTCTTTATTTCAAATAAGTAGGGGTGTCCTAAAAATATACACAAAATTATAAAAGGTGTCTAATTTAGAAAACGTTTTTACATGTGTCATCTGTAAGCATGTAAACAAGTCTTGAAAGTTAATTTGAACCTATTTCTAACAGTTAAATCGATATGAACATTGGTAAAGTCTAATCTGGAATGTAATACAATAACCACCACCATCGACCTTATTCGATGAGGGAATCGAGGAAAGGAGAAAGAGATATTGATAAATGTATTCTCAGACGATTGCTAATAAGATTCGTTTATTTTGTCATGTTAGTGTTTATTCCAAAAATTAATTAAAATTCATTTTTGAAACAACCATTCGTTGAGCAGTAAATAATACTTTTTAGGACATTTTTAAGTAGCTGTAATTATTTGGCATCGCTATTTTGTTAATGTTTATGTGCATTAAATGTTTTTTTTTTCTTATCCTTTTTTCTTTTTTTTTGATAATATCTTTTACATTTTAAATCTTTGTGTACCTAAATTTTTGCTACGTGCTGCTTAGGTTTTATACAATACCTTATTAATATTTTAATTAGGGATAAATATCTAATGCAAATGTTACCAGGGAAAAATTGTAGTATTGAAATATATTAGGAATACAAGTTTTGTGTAGTATTCAATGATAATAAAGTCAAAAAGTAAAAAAATATATAAAAAATGCTTACCGTGATGGGTAGCGAGATTCTTTAAATAACAATAATTAGAGGATAACTCATCTAAGTTAAGTATAATAACTTCTTCTATAAGTTAATATTATTAATGTTAAGTTATGTACAAGGTAAAAAATATTTATTTTACCCAATATTGATAAAATGAAGAGAATCGATTCGTTCAGGTATTATCGATTGATCTATTAGATAATTATGCCATATTTTTTTATTTGTTTATAAATTGCATGCGCATGCGCAAAAAGCTATGCTTTAATGTACTGGACTGGTTACTATGCACTGCTAGTATATTTAATCGGACTACTATTATATATGCCAAAGTTTATTATATAGTCGTAGAGAATGAACTGAGCAATACCGTCAAGAAATTGACCACTCTCTCGAAAGAGAGAAAGCGAACGTGCGGCTAATACCCGTCTTTTGTTCCCATTTTTTAATGAATACAGAAGACTTCTGCCCGCACATTCGTTTTCTCTCTGTCGCGCCTTTCTGTCATTTTTTGCTGACAATGAAACACTCAGTCAACTCTCTATGTCTATGATTTAACGTTACTATAATAATAGGGGTGGGTGCCCACAGGTACAGGGCGGCGCGCCCGGGCCGCCTGCGGGCGCGGGCGCAGCGCTGAGCGGCGCCCCGCACAAGGACGAGTGGTTCGTCTGAGGCGGCCCGGTCGGGCCCGCAGGGCGGGGGCGCCGTACCGGCCCCCTACTCCCACCTACACTGTCATCTACTTACTGCACTGGACGCGACTGATGCTCACATATCGAACAAACATATACGCTATAACATTGCAATAATAGTCTTAAACTTTCGCGGTTGGCGTAAACTACTAATAAATCTCATCATATCAAAGTAGCCAATACGATTTATACGGCCGCGAACAAAATATTTTTCTTTACACCAGCATATAATATATTAAATTAGCGGTAAGATCATAAAATGGCGACATATCCATATCAATAGATAGATATATAAGTGAAATATACAAACGCAACAATAAAGATCGTGAGTCGATACAGTCGTGTGTCGTAGAGTCCGAAAGACCCAAAGGAACTCTGCCAGTACGTTATCTAACGTTAGTGATGATAGGTGAGTGTATTTAGATCAGTTTATAAGTTTTTAAAACGAACCTTCACATATCTGTTAATTAAATTAAGCTACGGTTCTGCCGCGAGTGTTCCTTTAACTATTATAAGTTATCTGTGGGAGTTGCATTCTGAGATATTCGACTTGTGGTTGAACCGCGTAGAATCGGTCGGTCTATAGTATAATATAAGCGAATGTGCGGCGGCTTCTCGGTCGCGCCGCGACTGGGCGGCGCCTGCTCGCTCGAGCTACTTCCTCGTGCTATATGTACGAGCCACTCGCGCGAGTAACTAGCCGATGACAGTGAGCGATATATGCACAGTTACTCGCGCGATTGACTAAGACTTAAGCTGCGATTACACGCGCGAGCTACTCGCTCGTATAGTCGTTCGCGTGTGCTAATCGCGGATCGTTCAGAATCTCACTTGTTTGAATATACGCGTTTCGGTAGACTTAAGTATATATTATATGAATGATATTGAACATACTCTATCCAATGCAACCGTAACCACTAGCGAGTTAACGTCCTGAGTGACGTTGTCGTATACGTTCATTGGACAGAGTAGTGTGTGTAGAATGTGCAGTTCCAATATCTCCGCATTTCTAAAAATGTTTAGTCGATATTATATGTACGTGTGATTTTTTGTGTCTAATTTCTTTCAGTACCGAACTTATCATAAGAGTTATCATATTATGTATCTAAGTAAGTCAAATTTAAACTTTATAAATAAAGTTTTAAAAGTATTATCATGAAGATACTCGTTCAAATTGTAATCGGACCATATAATACATATTATGAATAGATCCCATAGATGTATCGATCAGTTACTTTTAAGTTGTCGCAATTTTGTAAATTACAATGTGAGTCGTAATTCGTGAGAGTCACGTTGAAGAAACTGATGAAGAAGTTAGCGAGATGGTGAGATAGAAGGTGGTAGCGCGCAGGCGTCCCCTCTCCCCACCCGCTGCACGCCGGCGCCCGCGGCGCGGTCCGACAAACCCCACCCCACCCCGCTCTACTTAGATATAATCGCTTGAAAAAGTAAAACAATAATAAAAACTTCCATTAACACGCTTAGATACTCGGTAAGGTACTACAATAATATAAATGCCTTTTAATGTTACAACGCTATACACAGATTTTATGAAGTTTTACTATGTGCGGGTCTAGGTCCGAACGTGCGAGGGCAGGTCGTGCCGCGCCGCACACTGCCGAGTGCCGAGCGATCTATCCGAACGTATCTACTCTAATATGTAATACCTAATTTTAGCAAAGATTTTTTTAGGTGAATTTTTACTCGTAATGTGGAAGGCGCACCGCGCCTCACGCGTGTCGTGGGTGTCCAGGTTTTGGTGTTACGATAAACGCAATATAAATTTATCGATATGACATTAAACATTTTTGGCTTATTGTTCGTATGTTATTGTGTTATTATTTAAGTTTTCCGAACCCTTATTCCCTTATCCTTATTCCCTTCAACCTTATTTAATAAAGTTAAAGCTTAGGGTAGGGACTGTCTGTAACAAGTATAATAAAATGCTTTTGAGACGTCTAAAATCTTAGTTTCTCCCTTGACTATGATTGCTGTAAAGCATTCGAAACGTCGGGAACCAAAAATCTAAATGAATCCACGAAATAATCCGAAAAGATTGTTTCATTTAAAGTTAAAGCTTTATTATTAAGAGAAATTCTTTAGAAAAAATATTATATTGAATTGTCATTACTGGTTGGTGCCTGAGGTAGATGATAGCAACTGATTTATTAACGAATTTACTATTATTTTATTTCAGGCGTTTTGCAATAAATACAAGGTAATAAATTAAATATCGTGTATCGTTTTATATTTAAAGATGAGCCTTTTCATTTTTAATAGATTTAGTTATTCCGAATGATTTGTATAAGTGGAAATATTAGTTGTCTTTTTTTCATTTTTGAAACATAGTTAAGACAAATCTCAAATCTAATGAGAAAATTCAAATAAAATAAGATACAAACTACAAAATATAAAGATAAAATAAAAAAAATATATTTTAATCTTTTTGGGTGTGTTATGCAATTAATAACAAGTACCTGGGCGAACGAGCTTCGACCATCGTTTTTTTTTGTTTTATTTTTTTTTCGGAAAAGCTATAAACATTGCATTTTCTCAGAAAAGACACCTACATAGATAAACGGAAAAAGTAAAACCTTATTTATCTAAATGCAACTTTTGATCAAATTCGTTAAAGTCATTTCCGAGATATACGAAATAAATTTATATAGCTACTCGTATATACAAGAATTGTTCACTGAACAAGATAATTTTTCAACTGAAATTTTATTTTTATCTCAATAGGTATATCTTATACAAATAGATCTATGTTACTAATTGAATTTTTAAAAGAAAGTAAAATTTTGTGATATACCAGAGTACAATACGGGATTTAATTATTGTTCTTTAAATATAACGCACAGGCGAAACCCTTAAGGCTAGAAAATTGAAATTTCACACACGTATTCCTCATATGACGAAGGCATCCACTAAGGAAGTGTTTTTCAAAAGCCAACCCCCAAGGGGGTGAAATAGGGGATAAAAGTTTGTATGAAACTTTTTATTCCTTGGACATATTTGCATGGAATTTCGTATGAATTGAGTACGGCAAAAATAATGAGACGTATTTCAGCGTTTTCTAAAATTCAATCCTTAAGAGGGTGAAATAGGGGATGAAAGTTTTAAATAAACGCACAGGCCTGACCCTTAGGGCTAGAAACTTAATATTTCGCACACGTTTTCCTCTTATGACGTAAGCATTCACTAAGGAAGGATTTTCAAAAGTCAACACCCAAGGGGGTGAAATAAAGTGTGTATTGCGAAAAAGTGTCTTATTCGTAGTTTGATCGCGGGTGAAGCCGCGGGTTCTGCTAGTGTAACATATTTATGGAAGTTGCCAGGATTTGATTTGGTCATTTTGTCATACAGCGCCATCTTTGAGAAAGCTAAAAAACTACCTAGAACATTACCTGGACTCGTGGTTTGAATATGAACTAAGCTTTTAGTAAAAGCTTTGTATTCTGCTAAAAATATTACTAAATTTCTATTATTATAAATTAATTTGAAATACGAATACAAAAATAAAAATTTCTTGTCTCATACAATTTTGATTTTAAAAATTCTTGCAATAATAGAAATTAAAACGTGAGCTTTTTCTTGCGACTGACAAAGCTTTAAAGCCGGTAAGCTTGTTTTACTCAGTTGGAATCTATCCGTCGCGGGGAGAGGTGATTTAATGCTGGCGTAAATATTTTTGTTACGTGAATTCGTCACTTTACGCGGGTGAAATGTTTTAAAAAATACTAAATAAATTTGATTACACTACAAACAAATAAATAATAATAATTTTAATCTATTACAATAAAACTTTTTTCTTAATAGCTGCTAATAGTGAACAGGTAACAAAAAATTACAAATTGGCGCCAATTTTGACAGATAAAACTGGCAAAAACATTGACTTGATTTTAAATAAAATATTTTAATTTATGTGTATTTATTAGTGTCAGTGACAAAAGAAATTTAATACTTTTAATTAAGTTGTTAGTTAACATAATATTATATATTAATTAATAAGCAAAATAGTATCGTGTACAGAGTGAATGTGATGGTGTAAAATGTGGTGGCGTGTAGTGGTGCTGGCGCTACTGGTGACGGCTGTCACTGGCAAGGGAAAGAAGCATCGGCATCAGAAACCTGGTAATTTTTTCTAAGTAAAATCTTCTGTAGTGTAATATTTTTACTTTATATTTGTCTCTTGTATTTATATTATTTAAAAAAATACAAATATTATGCCCCACTGGCATACTAAAAAGCTTAACTCATTGAATAAATTCAGGAAAAATAAAAAAAAACATTCTCTACTCTCTGGTATTTTTAAATAGATATGTTAGTAAATTATGAAAATAATATCTAATATTATAGTGCTTAATAATATTCTCAATGACATTGTGTGGATATCGGAATGATTCCCAGAGCTAATAGTTAGAAGTAAATAATATAATAGTTAATAGAAGAATAAATAATTGTAGCACGTTAAAGAACATGTAATTGTATTTTTACTCTTAAATGTTAATTTTTTTTACTAATTTAGTATATAAATTAGGATCCTGCAAGAACAATTTAAAAAAAAAGAAAAAAAAATGTGCGTAATGCGAGTTGGATAAAGCAAAGGATTTCAATTATTATCTATCCAATTTTTTTTTTTTATTTTTTTTTTGATTATTAAATAAGGCTTACCAACTAGAGTACATACACAAACTTAATCACTAAAATAACGTTAATAAATTCCTTTTTTGTATATAACTCTAAATTACAGGCATGCAGAACATTTTATAATTATGGTTTTAAAATTCTATGTAGATTTTGAATTTCATGTATAAATATTATATGATGGCACAGATCACATAACACTATACTTACTAGTAGTGGTAGTATTAAAATCTCAGAGCGTAAGGCAGAAAACATTAAATATAGCAAAAAACACTGATTTAATATATTTCGAAAG